CCTTCCTACCTCTCCAATGGCTTCCATGTGCTCCTTCTATCCACCACAAATGTAAGAGGAGATGCTGTCACTTTTTCCAGACAAAGAGAAGCTGAGGCTCAGGGGTGGAGACACTGAGTGCTCAGGGCGTGTGGAGGTGTGGCACAAAGGCTCCTGGGGCACAGTGTGTGATGACTCCTGGGGCCTGGCAGAGGCTGAGGTGGTGTGTCAGCAGCTGGGCTGTGGTCCTGCCCTGGATGCCCTGGGAGAAGCTGCATTTGGTCCTGGAAATGGAAGCATCTGGCTGGACGAGGTGCAGTGCCGGGGCGAGTCCTCACTGTGGGCCTGTGCTAGTGCGCCCTGGGGACAGAGTGACTGCAAGCATGAGGAGGATGCGGGTGTGAGGTGCGCAGGTGAGTGGCAAGACCAGCGTCATGGGCTGGGGCTGTCAGAGTATATATCTAAAACAGATCTCTTTCTTCGGCCATGATTCCCCAGAAGCTGTGGTCTAAGCTCAATATATCTAGGGGAGAAGAATGTACACTGACAATTAGACTATCAAGTGCAATGATTCTGTTTTTCTTCTTTTCTCTCCAGGCAAAATGACAACAATTTCACCCATTCATAAAAGTAAGTGGTTCTTCTACTTTAAGACAGGCCATAGAGTGAAGATTAGATTTTCATGTATCTACAGTACAGAATCTATATATTCATGCAATATTTTAGTAGGCCAGATGATAGACTTTCAAAGTAACAATAAAATTTAATTCTACTGTAAGAGCTCCAGCACTTCTAATGCTAATGGAAATTCATTTTAGAGTGATCTTCATGTCAAAATATAGATTTTTATATACTCTAAAGACTGATTGCCTCTCTTACTCTTCAGGTACCAGTTCTATCTCAGCACCTGTTCCAGGTCTCCTTTCGTTACCTGTGATCATCTGCATCATTCTGGGAGCCCTGCTTTTTTTGGTCCTCGTCATCCTTGGAACTCATCTGCACAGATGGAGAACAGAAATACGAGGTGAGAGATTAGGTTACTGGTAACCTTGAATTTTGTGTGCAGAGTGTGAGTCACATTCGCATCACTGCAGAAATATACCTGACCCCCACAACTGTAAAGGAGTAGATCATTATTTTGGCTCACACTTTTACTGAATTCAATCCATGGCTGGATAGCTTCAGGAAAGAAACTATATGGAAGAAACTCATGGCAGAAGGCAGTTGTTTACTGTATGGTGGCAATAAAGTGAAGGTTACAGAAGGAAAGAATTTGGGTGGGAGATAGTCTGTCCAAAAGCAAGCATTCTTCCCTCTTCATCCATGACACACTTCCTTTTTTATGTATTTAGTACAGGATCTACAGTGTCTCACTATACACATCAGACTCACAGTGATCCTCCTGTTTTCAGCCTCCCAATTGCTG